AATATTTTTGAATCTAAAAAAAAACAAAATATATTAAATAATTTAATTTTAGACATTTATATTATTATAAAATATATTAATAGGGTCTAATTTAAAATTTTGTGAAAATTGGAAGTGAGTCCCCCTAAATGTACTTGTTTTGAGATAAGTCCTAGAAGGAAACTTATAAGGGGTTAAGTCCATGTTTAAAATTATATATAATGACTTAAGTCCACTTTTTTTTTTTTTTAATCTCAAAAATTCCATTCTTTGAAAGGAAGTTAATTTTTTCTCTCTCATATCTATCTATATTCATATATAGGTTAAGAGTTTGACTAACATTAAAATCTTTTCTCTCTCTTATCTATCTATATCCATATATAGGTTAGGTGTATATATATAGTAACATTAAAAAAATAGTAACATTCAAATATAAAAAAAAAGTTATTATAAATTTGAATAGTAAAATTCAAATTCATATTACTGTTCATGTTACTGCTTTTGTTGAGTATGTTACTGTTCATGTACTATTATTTTTGAGCATCTTACTGTTTTTATTAACCATGTTACTACTATTATTTTCCTAAATATTAATATTCAATGTCACTATTTTTTTTTGAATATTATTATTTTTTTTATTTGAATGGTACTATTTTTTGCGTTTGAATTTGAGAGAAATAATTATTATTAAGTATGTTACAGTTTTTGTTAAGTATGTTACTATTTTTGTTGAACATGTTACTGTTGTTATTTTTTAAAAATATTAATATTGAATGTTTCAATTTTTTTTATGTTTAAATGTTACTATTTTTTATTTTTAATATATATATATATAAGAGAAAATATTTTAATGTTAGTTAAACTCCAAAGATTTGAGTGTTTTTAATTTTTAGTTTTATTTCACTTCTAAAGGAAGAGATAATATGATAAAATTGACAAAAAAAACATATTTCATAAGAAATAAATTTTTTTTATGGACTTAAGTCCAAACAAGTTCATATAGAGGGATCGGCCTCCAAAATTCCCTAAATTTTTTGCCTAAGGCCCCCAAATATGTTGGGCTGCCCATGCATGGATGCTTACAGTATTGTAGTTATTCCCTTATGGGATTAGTGGAGAAGGACGCTTGCTCGTTTACTTTTGATGGTTTGATGAGAATAGAAGACAAGATAGAGATTTTTTGTGGGTGTTTGTCGTATTTTTGTTATCTCCTTACGGGATTTGTGAAGAAGACAACTAGTTTGTTTGCTTTTGTTTTGATGACTTAATTGAAATACTTGTCAAAGTGGGTATTTCAGTCCAAGTACAAAACTAATTTGAAATTTGTGCTTATTAGGGATTTGGAAAGGAATCTAAGATTCCACTTCAAGTAAAAGACCTATTGTATTAGGAAACAAGATATTTTGGGTCTATAAATAGATTGTTAACCATATAATTTGTCTTGGGAATATTGGCCCTTAATTTTGGACATCCTTCTTTAATTTTATTCTCTTCGTTAGAGAATTTTATGTAATCTCCCTTTATTAATAGTGAAATTTTGTTCCTGGCCATAGGCTTTCGAGTCGAACCACGTATATTTTGTATTATGTATTTTTTCTATTTTGTTTAATTTATTGTTTGTAACTTTTGCTTATAACAAGGCCATGGGGTGTTTAGTGGTAAGGTTATGGGTTGGGCTTTTGGATGGAGATTGTTTTGCAAGGGTAGGTGTTTTGTGTGGGGACAATTCACCCGATTGTGAATGTTGGTTTGGAAGGCCTTGGCTGGGAGCTTGAGCATCCCTCTTTATCTATGTTCTTAGAGAGGCCAAGGGCATAACTATCTTTTTCTTAGATGACTTAAGGGCATAACTGTCCGCATGTTGCATAAAAGGAGTTGAAGCACGAGAGGGCGTCGATGGAGTGTGAATATCATTGCTCTTTTATTTACTTAAAGTATCATGTACGGCTGCCTGCGAGAGCCTTACCAAAATCAAAGTATGTTTGAAAAAGCATTTGTTTAGTTGGTGGAGGACGATCTTTGTGAATAAGAACGTATGATATGTACATTTTGTGTAGATGAGGAGTGCAACGATCAATAGTAAGGTGAGGCGAATGACGAAAGAGCTAGTGAGTGGGTAAGACAAGGTGCAAGGGTTGTGATTATTTTATAACATGAGAAAGATACACAAGATGAGTACAAAGTTATTGGACTCTATCACTAGGCGATGTAGTATGTCCAGTAGATAGAGTTTGGGTCTCTAACACGTCCTGCAAGCAAATGTTGCCATGAAGGAGACTGAGCTTATCTCAAAGAAGCTGGAAGCGAGGCGTTGATAGGGGCTTAGTTAAGATGTCCACTACTTGATCTTGGGTGGATAAAAAATTGACTTTAAGATTTTCCTTGGCCACATTATCTGAACAAAATGGAAAACGATTTCAATGTGCTTCAGTCGATTGTGGAAGATGGGGCGTGTTGGTGGTGTAGGTGTTGCTGAAGAGTGCATAGGAGCTGGGGATCTAGTGGGCTGTATCAGTGGAAGAGGAGGAAGAGAAACAGCGTTGGAGCAAGCTGTGTCAGTGTCAAGATTCAGTTGCTGCAAAAGGGAACAAATTCTCATCAAAGACCACATTGCGAGAAATATAGATTTTTCGAGTTGCGGGGTCAAGACATTGATTGCCACAATGATGGGGGTTATAGCCAATAAAGACAATGAGTTGATTGGAATTCAAGCTTGTGGTCACCATAAGGATAGAAGGCACATCCGAAGACCTTCAAAAAATTGTAATCCTGCTTCCTTTGAAATAATTTTTCCAGCGGTGCAAGATTTAAAGAACTCAAGAAGGAATGCGATTGATGAGATATGCCGCCGTCTCAAATGCAAAATCCCAAAATGTGAAAGGAAGCGAGCATGAGCCAAGAGGGCAAGTCCAATGTCGATAATATGACAGTGCTTACAATCGGCGGGGCCCCATTTTGTTGATGGGTATGGGGACATGATACCCAATGTCCAATTCCATAGTTAGGGAGATATGATAAGACGAAACTGAGCAGTATTCACTACCCTAATCACTGTGCAAGTATTTTATCCATGTGGAAGAAAGATTTTCAACCAACAACTCAAATTTAATAAAAGGTAATACTATGCTTACGAAAATTTTTAACCAAATGATGTGACACTGGTTTTCACTATTAGATGAGTGTGTTTTATTAATGTTCAATGATGGAGATTGTATCACATCATTTGAGATGAAAGATTTGATAAAAAAATTTAGTAAGCATAACATTTTCCGGCAAAACATCACTTTATATATATTTGCTATAAGCTCCATAAAGTATACAAATAACGTTTGCCATTAAAGGAAAAAATAAGGGTGGGACCCCAAACATCAGAATAAATTATTTTAATTGGAGCCTTTGTCGGAGTTGAAGGAGAAGGAAAGGGAAGAGCATGACTTTTTCCTTTTTGACAGGCATTACAAATTGGAGTGATCTTATTGATATGAAAAGATCTGCAAGATGGATTGAACAGTCCGAAGGGTCGGATGACCGAGTCTTTGGTGCCACCGTTCAATTGCATCATGAAGAAGGGCGACTTTATTGGAAACTGAAGGAAACTTGAGATGGTAGAGACCATCAGAGTTTGGGCCATTGAGTAGAACCTTCCTGTGTGAGTGTCCTTGTCACAAAAATAAGACGGATGAAACTCAAACCAACAATTATAATCTTTGGAGAATTGGTGCACAGAGAGAAGGTTGTGTTTGACATGGGGTACATGGAAGAATTGTGATTTGGAAAGGAGGAGGAGCCGGTGTGGCTAATTTCAGTGGCACTGCATTGTAGTCGGAGGAAATTTTAAGATTAGACATACCCGCAGAGAGATAAAGAGTTGCACCAGAGTTAGATACCAAATATCCGAGGAAGCATGGTAAGCCAGAGAAGAAGACTGTGGAGCGTGGATTGGAATGCCTCATTGAATCGATTATGACATTGGAGTACGGTATGGCCGATACGATTGCAAACTTGACATATAGGTTTGTGGGTGTTATTGGAAGTAGAACTAGAAGGTGAGCCATGGGGAAACCCATCTGAATAGTGGCATGTAGAACCACGTCCACCACTGGAAGATACAGCCACGGGGAAACCCATTTGAATAGTTGTATTATACAGTACAGGGTAGTGATTATTTTATAACATGAGAGAGATACACAAGATGAGTACAAAGTTATTGGACAATATCATAAGGCGATGGAGTATCTCCGGTGGATAGAGTTTGGGTCTCTGTCAATCTTTATCTTTAACAGTAAGGAAATTTTTTGGTAGATAGTTGTTTGAATACTTAATCTTTATTCATTTTTAGCGACAAATTATTCACTTTTAGCAATAACATTTTTTGCTGTTAAAATACATTTTTCTTGTAGTGCGCGTCATTTGAGCTCTAATAAAGACTCAAAATAATATACTATCATGTTATTTGGGGCTCTTGATTTGGTCGCTAAATTTGGTCAATATTACTACTTTAGAAATGCCTAAGATTGTTGTTACATAAGTTCTTAGTGAGCATTTCAAGAGATAGCTAGTATAGAAGGATAAAGTAGAAAATATAGAAGCTTATCTACCAACATGGAAGAATCTAACCAAATTGGGGGTTGTTGACCCTATCAAAAGTTTTTGGCCTATATTTTACTGAAAAATTAGGGCCTTCTTGGTAACTCTAAACTTTGTATAGGTTAAGTATTTTTGGGACCCAATGTTGGATTTCATGAACTTATTGTGTGTGCAATCATATTGGCCATAGGCCAAATATCATGTTGATATGTAGCTAGCAAATCAACACCTTGGTCGCACTACTACTTATTTCAAATAAACTTAGTGTTACTCACTGGCCATATCTTCGATAAACTAAATATTTGATATCCTTTAGCTTAGTCTAATGATCAACACTCAAAAATTAACTGAATCTGATCATTATGTTTTGAGATACAGCTCTAGACCTACTTAAAAATGTTGAAGCGCAAGCCATTTTAGGGCCATTGAGTTCCATGCAGGCGGGGTTTGTAATTGATCTTGGAGACCAAGCTCAAGTACCCATTATTTCATTTTCTGCAACAAGCGCTTCTCTTTCGTCCACTTGGAGCCCATACTTCATTGGTGCTACCCAGAATGACGCTTCTCAAGTCAAAGTCATAAGTGCGATTGTTCAAGAATTTGGATGGAAAAGAGCAGTGCCCATCTTCGTAGAGGATGAGTTTGGACAGGGGACAATATTATATTTGACCAAGGCCTTGCAAGAGGTTGAGACTAGTATACCCTACTGGAGCACTATCCCACCGCTCGCCACAGATGATCAAATTGTTGCAGAACTACGCAAGCTGATGCAAATGCAAACCAGAGTTTTCATTGTGCACATGTTACCATATCTTGGTGCTAGGCTCTTTACCAAAGCAAAAGATCTCGGAATGATGAGTGATGGCTATGTTTGGATCATAACCACTGCCTTAACCAATGAGTTGAGTTCAATGGATCCATCTGGTGTTGAGTCTATGCAAGGGGTAATGGGGTGAAATCTTATGTTCCGAGGACAAAAGAGCTTGAAAATTTTACCATTCGATGGAGAAGGAAGTTCCAACAAGACAATCCCACTGTCCTTAATGCTGGACTGAATGTTTTTGGACTATGGGCACATGATGCAGCCACAGCTCTGGCCATGGCAGTTGAGAATGTAGGGGCTGGAAATCCTGGCTTTTTGAAGGCAAACTTTTCAGGAAATTCAACAGACCTTGAAACCTTTGGGGTCTCTCAAATTGGTCCAGATCTTCTGAGAGTTATTTGGAATACTACATTTAGAGGTCTTAGTGGAGATTTCCTTTTAGTTGATGGGCAGCTACAGTCATCTGCTTATCAGATAGTTAATGTGATAGGTAATGGATGGAGAGGGATTGGGTTTTGGACTGTGGAAATTGGACTTCTTTATGATATAAATTTAACAAAGACAAATACATATTCCACTTCCCAGCAGAGTCTTGGAACCATCTTTTGGCCAGGTGATACTACAGATGTTCCCAAGGGCTGGGTGATTCCAACAAATGGAAACAAGTTGAGAATAGGAGTTCCAGGTATACCATCTTTTACGGAATTTGTAAATGTAAGACATGATTCTCGCACTAACATGACAGTGGTCACCGGATACTGCATAGATGTCTTCAAAGCTGTAATGGCACAATTGCCATATGCTGTTCCTCACGAGTACATTCCAATCGAGATTAATAGTTATGATGGCTTGGTGTATCAGGTGTATCTTGGGGTAATTCTCTCTCTCTTTCTCTTCTTCACTCACTCTTTGTGGTATGCTTATCAGTATCATTTTTCATCTTAGTTTATCAGTATTAATATTAGCAGCATTTAATGATCTGAAGAAGACAAGTGTATTTGAAATGTATCTACAAAATGTTACTTTCAGCAGTTGTTGGAAAATAATAAGATTCGTTTGAAATAGATGTACGATCTTTGAATTTTAATATTGAAAATGTTAACTTTTTCATATTTATGATCGTGGATTTGTTCCACATATAACTATTCCTTCATATATGGTCAAGTTCCCCCCCCCCCCCCTCCCCCCCACAAAAAAAAAAAAAAAACACACTCACAGAAAAGAAGACAAAGGAGTATAGGTAATTCCTTTCTGACAGCAGGACTTTTGTTTGTTTGAGTAATGAACAGAACTATGATGCCGTGGTAGCAGATATAACAATTACAGCAAACAGGTCACTGTATGTGGACTTTACTCAGCCCTACACCCAATCTGGCTTGTCAATGATTGTACCAATAAAAGACAAAATGAGAAATGACGCATGGGTGTTCTTGAAGCCTTTGACATGGGATCTTTGGGTGATAAGCTTTTGCTCGTTTGCTTTCATTGGTTTTGTGGTTTGGGTTCTTGAACATCGAATAAATGAAGATTTCAGGGGTCCTCTCTCACGTCAAGTTGGCATGATCTTCTGGTTCTCCTTCTCAACGATGGTTTTTGCGCATAGTAATGACTCTTCCTCATCTTAATGCTTATATAAATGTTGAGTGATATGGTTTGCTTGCATAGTAAGTTTTCTCCCAGTTCTACTATCTAGATGTGAAATGTTGTGTCTGAAAACGATGCAGTACCTACACAATGAATATGCTTATTATGCTAAGAAAATGCTTTCCACAAGGATATGGAACTTCCTTATATATATATATATATATATATATATATATATATATATATATAAGCCTACTTGTCTGTCTTCCTGGCAGGATATTCAAAAATCCAACAACAAAAGCTTAATTATTGTTCACAGACTTGAAAATACTTCTGGATATCTTATTGTTATCAAAATAATTTTAACAGATTAGAAGGTTTTGATCATATATTTATTTTTGATGAACCCAAATTTTATCGGGCCAAAGCCCAATTCAAATAAACTAAAGAAGCCCAAAAAAGAGTCCATTGGATCGACCCACATAAAGAAGTCCAAAGCACAAGAAAGGACTAATGTTCAATGGAGCCAAAAGGACAGCACCCAGAACCAAGGGGGCACCGCCCAAGGTTCCCAAATGGGCGCCGCCCATAGGGTCCCTTGAGGCGCCGCCCCTTGGGCTCTCCTCCGGTCTCCTCTTCATCCTTCTCTGTTGTCTTCTCTTCAGTCCACCTCAGTATCATGGGAATAACTCTGATGCCAGTCCAAACGATCGTAGTTCATTCCAGGGTCAAGTCCAAGATCAAAATCAATCCAATATCCCTCTCCGAGTGAATAGGAGTATGAGGGAAAGAATCTCGGGATGGAGATTGAGTCCTATTAAAATGGAACTTACCAAAATAATAGAGACCTCCTTTATCACGTCACTGTCTTACCCTAACTATATAATGTACCTCCTCTCAACATTGAGATAGGGCTTCTAACGCCTCTACTCATCTCCTCACACACACTGCTCTCTCTCTCTCTCTCTCTCTCTCTTCAAAGCACTGTAATACACCGGAGTTACTTTTTCGATTACATTATTCATCAATAAAACACCTCAGGCCACCGTTGCCTTTCCTGAGAGTGGAATAGGTCACTCGGACCGAACCACTATAAATTTGCTTGTTTGCTCTTATGTGTCTATCCTATTTTTCGCTTTAACCCATAATTGTCATTGATTGCTTGTTAACCGCATATTAATTACACTCTTATACATTTTTGACTGTTGATCTTGCACGAAATCAATTTGTGCATCATCAACTCTCCTTAAGGAAATTATACTCTCACTATGTTATTGTTGGTTTTATGGCAAATTCCTTTAAAATTAACAAAGCCAAACAGAATTTTAGATAGCAAATTTCAAAATTCTCCCAAAAATAGAATAGAGAAATGTTATTTTTGTATATATCTGTATTGCAGGATCTGTACAGATATTTATAATACTTTAGAGATGTATAGGGGAGACACAACTCTTGAGCCAAGAGACATTAATACATAAATAATTAATCACAACTCTTAGGTCAAAGAGATGTAAAGAGGAGACACAACTCTTGGGCTAAGAGACATTAATACATAAATAATTAATCACAACTCTTTGGCCAAAGAGATGTAAAAAGGAGATACAACTCTTGAGCCAAGAGACATTAATACATAAATAATTAATCATTTATAGAGTTTAAGCCCAAGTGCTCATCTTTTGACTTTAAATAATATTTTATTTAAAATCTAATCAAGACTCGTTGATTTAAAATATTTGGAGCTTTTTTCCAAATCTACCCATCATTCAAATTTATAAAATTTGGTGTGTTTTTCATTTTAAACTGTTACACTCCATTTCAACTTTTCCAATATGGGATACCTTACATTACTAACTATCTCACATTACTAACTATTTCTAACACTTATGACATATACATGAATACGTATCAAATGTTATATACTTCATAGGAGAGCTTACACTTAAATTTATGCAGGAGAGAAGGTGCTGAGCAACTTAGCTAGGTTTGTGGTGATCATTTGGATATTTGTGGTGATCGTGCTGACTCAATGTTACACTGCAAGTCTCACGACGATGTTAACTGTTCAAAAGTTGCAACCAACTATTACTGATGTCAAAGAACTTATACAGAAAGAGGACTATGTAGGCTACAGAAGGGGCTCTTTAGTTTTGAAACCCCTTATGCAGATGGGCTTCGAGGAGTCCAACCTTAAGGAATATGACTCTCCAGAAATGTGTGATGAACTTTTGTCAAATGGTCTCGTTGCAGCTGTTTTTGATGAAATTCCCTACATGAAGCTTTTTGTTGCAAAATATTGTACAAAATATATCATGGTTGCACCAACATACAAGACTGACGGATTCGGCTTTGTACGTATAAACCTTCTACATGTCTCTGTCTCTGTCTCTGTCTCTGTCTCTGTCTCTGTCTCTCTCTGTCTCTGTCTCATTTTTAATTGAGATTTGCAGGTTTTCCCAATTGGCTCCCCTTTGGTCCACGATGTTTCAAGAGCTGTCTTAAATGTGACCGACGGAGACAAAATTGTAGCTATTGAGGAACGCTGGTTTTCAAAAAACCCCAATTGTTCTGACAGTAGTAGCGCATCGGATAGTCTCGGTCTTGACAGCTTTTGGGGCCTATTCCTTATAGTTGGAGTTATTTCATTGTCAGCTCTTCTTGTGTTCATGGCCATGTTTGTTTATGAGAACTGGCATCTCCTGAGGAGCTGTGATCCCAATGCTTCATTATGGGAAAGAATAGCAGTGATGGCTAGACATTTTAACAAAAAAGATAGCAGATTCTATACTTCCAGAAGTAGTGAATTACAAGACAGAATCGGTGTCCATGGTCTGGATTGTGTGGGGGCAGGTGAAGCCTCACCAAATTCAAACTGCATGCGAAGTTCATCAAGCTTTTCACTCCAAGCCTCTCCAGATACTGTTTTCAGCGAGCAGGGGACTCCTCAAAATGTGCACGTCTTTCCAAATATGCACCTGGAAACAGTTCGAGAGATACTACCGGCTATTGAGCTTACCAGTGCAAATCAAGAGGGTTAGGAACTCCCGATTCCAGAAATGAGGGTCGCTGACATTGGTTCTTATGATATCATCTAATGCATAGTAGTACTCGTACAGCCCAAGTACAAGTGGTCAAATTAGAGTAATAATAGAGTGTCGATCCTCAATAAATGTGTAAATTGAACAATCGTACAAATGAACAAGTTTTACTAAAAGTAGAATTAATTGAAAAGAAATTGTGAAAATAAATGTCGGGTAAACAATAATTTGGAAAACGATTTCCTAGTTTCGGGATCTGGATTTGCTTTTATTTATTAGAAAGTCATATTTATGCAATATTAATTATCTCAGTTGATTTCCAACGTGGAAATATTTTGATGAACGAAAATTAATTTGACTGACTTGAAAATAAACTTTGAAATACTAATTAAAATACTTGTAAAAAATTATAAACATTATTCATACTAAGATCTCAATCTTATTGATGAATAATTAAACAATTATACAAAGTATTAAAAGTTTCCTAAGAACCTTCAATCAAATAAGTAAAAGATTTAACATTGCGATCAAAATATAAATTGCATAAATATAAAATTCAAATAAATAACTACTGATCTATCAACCCTAACTAGAAAGTACAAAAAGACTTAACAATTTATGGTTAGATCTCTAAGAATTGTGATTAATAAGAAAATACAAAAAATAGGTCAAAAAATAGCTACATTGAGAAAAGAACGGATCCACTCTCAAAAGCATAATAGTATATTTATAGCAAAGTAGTATTGGTATAAATAAAGACAAAGTATGACTCTAGGTGAAAATTTTCACTTGAATCGATCCACAAAAAGAGTATGGATCGATCCCTTAAAGTTTGCTACGTAATTCCAAGGATAACAAAGATCATAAGGTAATGGAACTTTGGCTCATGAGATATTGAGATAATGGAATTTTAGCCCATGGAAAATTTAGATCAATCCCATAAAGTAGGGATCGATCCCCACTTTGTGTGGTTGATCCCTCCAAAGTCTGTGTCAAATCTTTATACCCCTTATGGATCGATCCTTTCCAATTTTAGATCAATCCTTCACAACCCTCTAAACTTTTTATTTATTTATTACTAGCAATGCACTATGTGTATTGCACGTGAATAGTTTTTATTCAAAAATTATTAAAATAAATTATATATATGTTTAAATTAAATATTATCTCAAATTTACCAACTTAATTTTTCATTACTCATATTTTATTTTTGGATTATAAAAACTTTGTATGTTCATAAAATTCTTTATTAAAGTTTTATTTTTTTTTAGAATTTTATGATTGAAATTGATTTATTAGTGGTGTTTGAAAAATTAATTATTTTGAAATTCATTTGATTAGGATTCTACTTCTTTGAATAAAATAAAAATAATTATCAATATACTAATTATTTTTGGAACCTTATTATAATTAGCAATTAGTTAGGTGCATTGAAATAAAATTTAATATACTACTCTATAATATATATTATCAAGCATGATACAATTTTAAAAAATTTAAGTTTTTACTTAAAAATACAAAAATCTATTTTATATAAAATATTAATATAGCTCAGAAAGTTAATTGTGGCCAAAGAATTATACTTATGTCATATAAATTGATTTCAAAAAACTATATATACGATTATTTTTTATCTTAGAAATGAAATGGTTAAATATTTTGATAAAAAAAAAAATTAACATATGTAGGCATAATATTATCTTTGCATATGTGATGAGTAATATAATATTGATTGAGTTTTTGAAGGTTTTTTTTTAACACTATTAAAAATATAATGATGCATATTATTTTCGGGGTTATATAGTCAACTTTTTATTTATATATAAAAACTTATATTTATAATAGGGAATAGATAATTAAAAGAGATGTTAGAGATAATTTAGAGATTTAAATACATAAAATTAAGATGATAATTTAAATATTTAATTATAAAATAATAGAGTAGTCTTTGCAATTTTTTATAAAGATAAAATACGGCATTTATATGTAAACCATAGTTCTGAATAACGGTAACAGTTATTGTAATAGTAACGGTAATAGAGTAACGGACGTGAGATGAAACGGGCGTTACGTAACAGTAACGGAAACTGGGAACGTGAATTTTTTGTTTTTGATCACACCTCTCTCAAAAAACAAATTTAAGCATTTTTAACTCCAAGTTTATGTAAATATAGGTTTTTTGTGATATGTTATACATTTTATTGTGTCATAAATAATGTTTTATGAATTTATTTTTTTAATCATTGTATGATAAAAGATTTCTAGTGACTTTTAATTGAATGCAATCCATTTAAATATTTTTGGGAGAATTTAGAAACCATAGCCAATTGAAATTTTATCAAGAATCTTTTTTTTTTTTAATTATTGGTTATACATTCCTAAAAGATGGAAAAATGTTAGCAAAATACAAACAAAAAATCTGTTAATTTTTTTGGGCCCAAGTTAGACCCATTTTTTACATTTGGGCTAATTTATATCTCTTGGTTTCACAACAAGGGGCAGCTTGTCTTTTGACACATAATAACCATGTCCTAAAACTAATCTCTTCTACCACCTTTTCACCGGCGTCCAGAGGAGTACCAGCATAACAGAGCTCCTCCAAGCTCAAATATTGATGCCGTTAAAGAGGGACCAGCCGACCAGGTCTACACATTTCTTTCTCTTAATCTCTATTCTTCTCATTTCATATATTTTCTAGTTTTCTAGTAGCAAAAGCAAGGGTCGTTGATGTATAATGTTTGTTACGGCTGAATAACGGAATGTAACGCCGTCGTAACGCCCATTACAGCCCGTTACGCTACCATAACGCCCGTTATTTTTTTGGCCATTAAATCGGAGTGTAACGGTATCGTCGACCTCCATTACTGTTGTATAATAGTCATTACGCACCGTAACAACCGATTTTCCGAACTATAATGTAAACCATCAATAATCATCCAATAAGCATAAAATATATAAAGAAATTATAATATTTTATTTTTTATTTTTACTGAAAAACTACATGGAATTTTATTCAAAGAAGCCAAAGAATTACAAGAATAAGAGGGAAAATGACAAAATGCCAAACCCCAAAGAATTACATGAATCAATATCAGGAAGGACAATTTTTGTGCAACCTGTTACAATACAACAAATGCCAAAAAACAGACCTATACACTCTAGCATCATCAAGCAAGAGCAAGTCCATCATGCCCATAACTGCAAACCACCACCCTTCGAGTTCGCAGCATTGGCAACCTCCTTCGATCCTGCATCAGCAACAACTTCACAGCATTAGGCGGCTACACAGGCCCAGAAAAATCAGAGGACATTCTGTCCTACACTGCCTTTTTCGCCAAACAATCTGCAACACAGTTTGCCTCTCTGTAGACATGCCTCAATTGAAAGTTCAAGTGCCCCAGAATTTCTCTAATTCGAAAAAGAAAAGCCAACAATTCAAAGGACAACCACATCTGCCAATCACAACATTCAATAAAATTAGCGAATCTGATTCAATCAAAATTCTGTAAGTCAATAAACCGTACTCCTCCACCATCTTTAGACCATCCATCAATGCTCTAAACTCTACTATCATATTAGTATTCTTCTCATAATAAAAGGATCCAGCCAAAACCATTGGACCCCACTCATTTCTCAACACAACACCACCACCTACAGGGCCTGGATTTTCTCTTGAAGCCCCATCTACGTTTAATTTTAGGGTTCCAGCACTTGGGCACTCCCAGCAAACCCAAACTGCCCTAATAACAATCTGCAAAGCCACCTCCACCCTAAGCCATTGCAACAGAGCTTTCCCCTCCCTATCCTCCCTCACCTTAGCCTTTACATTCGTCCCTTGATACCTTAAAACACTACAAATTTTCATGAAAACAGAGTAAGAGTGCAAAATACCTTCCCCAGCTACCCTCCTACACCTTTCCTTCCAAACTTGCCAAAAAATCAATAGAAGAACACTTCTAGCTAAGCCATGAGCCACAAACTTCTTTTTAAACACCCTGCAGATTCTTCTAAATCTCACTAAAGGAGCTTCCCTAGGAACCAGCTGAAACCCCACCAAAGCAGCTAACCTACTCCAAATGGCTTCAGCAGCATAAAACACACCTACTTACAACTGGAATGCCAATCCTCCTAATTTTAGCATTCATTGGAAAAACATCCATTAAAATCTTCCATCCAACCAGCTGTGCACTCGGTGCAATATGGGTACCCCAAATAATGGCAGCAGTTGCATTCCTCTCTCCTGGCTGCCTACCCACATGCCAAGCTGCCTTAACAGAAAAGGCACCAGAGCTAGACCTCTACCATAGCAATCTATTAGACATCCCAGTCAACACCACACCAGAATTTAAAACTACATGCTGCAACTGCTCATTCAACAACCCCTCCACCTCACCTAAATGCCATTGAGAACCTACAACCAACTCTGACATCGTAGGAAAAAGCTGTGGAGAATCCTCTACCTTACTTATCAAAGGCCCATCCCCCAACCAATTATCACACCAAAAATCAGTGCGAGATCCCTCACCATCACAGCCTTGAACTGAACCACCACCCTCTCAAAATTAGGCCTCAACATCTCCAAACATTTAAAATGGCTCTTCCTTGGGCATCTCATAATATGCCTCCCCTTTAGAAACTTAGTTGAAAACACTAGAGCCCACAGAGAAGATCCCTACATTGGACTCCAAACTTGCTTCATCCTTAAAGCCACGTGCACCCCCTCAAACTTCCTCAACCCCCAAACCTCCTTTTTTCTTAGGTAAAATAACTTTCCCCGAAGAAACCCAGTGCCTCTTCCTCACATCCAACTTATTTGACCATATAAATCCTGTCATCAATGAATTAAGCCTTGACAATACAGGTTTTGGTAGATTCAGACAGGCCAGCAAATGGATAGGCATAGAACTCAATACAGACTGCACCAAAAGGACTCTCCCCATGTTTGACATCATCCTAGCATACCACCCTTCCAATCTCTGCCTGAATTTGAACAATAATTC